AATTTAGATTTGACCTAAACTTTTCAAAGGCGACGTCTACAACCCCCATATGCCAAAAACTTTTACGTTGAAAGTAGAAAAAATCAGCTGCGCCCCCTCCATATTACAGAGCATGAGAATTTTGTTTTTTTACTTCTACTGTTTTTTTTTTCCAGTAAATGGGTGTAAAAGATTCGATCTCAACCGAGCTTAATTTTCTTATTTATTTATTTTTTTTATTTGTTTAGGTGAAGGCATTAGGCCTGTTAATAACAGGATGTGTATATCAGGTAAGGTGATTATTTTTTAATATAAGTTGTTCTCTTGGGTTCACAGTTGATAGCAATAGTTAGGACGATTTTCAGCAAAACGTGATGCTGCAGGTCTTCTTTATTAGGAGGCAGAGATGTAAAGGTAGTCAGTTAACTCTAGAGTTATTGCCAGAAGATTGATTACAAGCTTTGGATGCCTGTGAATGTTAATTAAACAGTGGGAGAGTTAACAAAAGTAAGTAGTAACAAATAAGAAAATTATATTCGGCAATGATCGAATTTTTTATACCCATCAACGTTATGCTACTTTTTTATAAAAGATTTGTGGAAACTTATATCGTGTACCTGTTGCAGTGTTGTGAACAACGAGCAAGGGAGAGGAAAACTGAAAGTTTTCGCTCTTCTTGTTACATAGCCGAGTGGGCATTGTAGGCGTGTCCTTTGCCCGGTTTGGATCATTTTCAAGTTGTTTTGCAAAAACGGGAAAATGTTTCCACGCATATTACGCTTTTGCGCAGACGGACAGAAGAGTGGTTAAGCAGACGGTCATGCTTAGGTGCATTCAGAATTTTCAATTGGCTAAGATCTTACATACTTTATGGAGTTTTTGAAGCTTGCTGTTGAGCGTTTTAAAGGTATTAAAAAACAATGGAAGTATGGCACACATGGTCAATTCTTACCCAGTTTTGTACAGGCACTACAATATTGTTGTATATGTATTATGAGTAATGGATAAAAAAAAGCACTTTTCTATTTCTTTTTAAAAAAGTAGGTGTTTTTAGTTCACGTGGTATGATAGACGTGTCCTTCCCCTGATTTGGCCCATTTTCAATCCCCAATCTGCGAAGTGCCCATGTTTTTGCTAAATTTAAAGTCGATAACTTGATTTTTGTGCCCCGGAGAATGCTTACAACAAATATTACAGAAATGAACAAAAGGATACATCTAAAACGATTCCGAACTTGATGCTCATCAAGAGTATGTATATATATACTTTGTAGGGTCTCTCAAACTTTTTTCTTGTCATTTGCATATCTCTTGACAACATAACGCATTGTTCGGTGATGGGTATTAAAAGGAATCAAAGTGGATTACAAAGCAAATCCAGCAGATTTGGTAAAGGAAGTCAGCTGTTTGAGAGCATAAAGAATTTCATAAGGGTTATTGTATATGCTGAAAATATAGAAAGGTTATCTAATGATGTCAAGTTTTCTGGATTCAAAATTTAGATGCTCAACTAACTACGCTGTGGTGCATTCATCACGATCGTCTAATGGAATTTCTCAGATAATTTTTTTAGTAGACGTTATCGTACCTGTGATTGCTCGTGAATGTGTTGAATTTTTAAATGTCCCATGTCGTAGACATGACCATGTCACTAATGTATGCAAAAGAATAATAAATTTAATAATCAAAAGTGTGTACAGACATGTAATATTTGAATTAAAAAATCTTCTTCTTCTTCTAGAAATCAGCAACGGAGGAATAATCGGGCAACTGAAAGTTATCTTTCATTTATACCACCAGCTGTTTAGCACAAATAGCTGAAAACCTAAGCGAGAGTTAAATTTTCCATACGCGATTACCAACCAGATGATCTACTGCGCAGAGTAAAGATTACTCAATGTGAGAACTTAAAAACCATGTTCACTGAAGAAATTACATAATAAAGCAGGCGGATAATCATGCAGCTAAAAGCTAGCTTTCGCGTTTTATATTCGGCCGTTTTTGCCAAATGCAGAGAACGCAAAATATTGCTCGCCCGCTAATCTATCATTAATCCGGCCACTAATCTTTACCAAAGACTTCAATAATTAATACCGGAACGATTCGTCTGTTTACTGAACAAACGAGTTACGATTAACCTATGCAATCCGATAAATGGCCGAATAATTCGCTGAAATTGTATCGAACCTTACTTTGCATAGGGTGCTACTAATGTTTTATTGAACAGAATAAGTAACAGATGTACATATAACTGAACAGCAAGAGCAAAAAAGCAGAGATTATAGAAAGCAAAGTCAATACAAAAAAAAAAAAGCAGAAAAACAAATGGATTTTTTCTATTAGGCTTTTCATCTGTAGTTTGATCGTTGTATGTGGTGTAGCTAAGAAGCCATTTGTTCGTTCAACGTTTAGATAACTAATGAAAATATTTGTTTCATAGAACGCTAATATTTCAGATATATTTTTTTTGTTCACGAACATAAATGGTCTTCGATTTTTTTTTAAAAGACCCCACACCCAGATCTCAGTTTTATTCATCACCTGTTGTTTGAAAAAACAAATTGCTTTCATTCAACAAAATTGAGTTTATTAAAGTGGATCCATTTTATGTTCTGGGCTCAAAGCCGCGGTTTATTCTGAATAGCAGGTAAGCAGCGCTGAACTTGATCTCTGGTAGGCAACTAAGGACCAAGCTCCTTCAAACATGTTTTTTTTTATATCTTAAACAAATTTTACTAAGACAAATGTGCAATATTTTAATGGAAGATGTTTTGACATGTTTCTAATGAAGCCATTATGCCATCTCTGTAAAACGACGTCTACTCTATTAATAAATTCCGGACGCCTTACCTCAATCGTGCGCTTGAACAGCTTTAGGTATTAACAATAGAGTCAGTCAGTCATTAATTTGGTCAAGTTGAAGCAGCTCCGGAGCCACGATCCCCTTTCAAGCTCACCCAACGTCAAACTCTATTCGCCTATGCGATATCACTACTGAGCGCATTAACGTCATTCCCAGGCCGCCAACTTTTTCGATTCGATTTTTATATCCTTCGTTAAAAATTCCCAGATGGATATTATAGAAGCTAACGTTTTTGTGGGGAATACACATGATATCTAAGTAACGAGTTGCTTTTTGTACTCAACCTTATCCAGAGGGCTTCCATTCCTTCACTACTCGAAATATGCTTTCACAGTGACGTCATATGATGAAATGCCTCCTCATTGTCTCTTTTCAAACGTGTTATTTTTGGCTTAGAAAAGTTCGTTTTACTAAAGTAATGTTACTTTGAAGTCATATATAACGGGAAAAACGTCGCAAAGTTTTTAACTTGCCTAATAGAAGACACATTTAAATATACTGTAATATTTTCCAGGTTAAGAACAGGATCGATCCTCTTTTACGAAAAAGGGAAAAGTCTGAATGGTCACTTTCTTAGGTAAGTCAATTCTTTTAAGAGATCTACATTATGTTATTTAATGCGTTACAAACGACGGCGACCAAATATATATAATATCATCTGCTTTAGGTTATGTAATGACTCTGCATCTCTTTACTCTTCTAGATCAAATATTTTTTCGCCCCTTAATCAGTAAAGATATAAATAAAATTCTTGAATATCACTCCTTATGCTAACAATGGCTATCAACCTTTGTCTTTATTGAGAGACTGCCCATCATCGAGAGACTGCGGTAAAATCTTTCAAGCTTTAGAGACGCTATAAACCATATAAGCTATTGATCGTTATCAGTTTCTGAATTGATCTACGCATGTCCGTCTCTCCATCTATGGAAGTGTACATGGTAAACGTGGTCACGGCAGCAACAAATAAGATATTGATTTCAGGTTAGTGCAGGAATATTGAAATTCCTTGCGCACTGATTGACTTTGGGAATGGATCAAATCGGTCAAGGAATATGCGCATAAAACAATGTAACAATAGAAAACCTCTGCTAAAAAAAAGTTTGGTTTATTATAGAACATTAAATTCGATCGGAACCGAACCTTTTACACCCAGCATCGTTTAATCCAAAAAAAAAAAAACAAAAGAAGTAAAAGAACAAAATTCTCATGCTCTATAGCAGGGAGTGGGCGCAGTTGATTTCTTTTATTTTCAAAATAAATAAAGCTTTTGTCGTAGAGACTTGTGGGGATTGTAGGCGTGTCCTCTGAAAAGCTTAGGTCAATGCCAAATTCTTTTGCAAATTTGTAGGCGATATCTTCATTGGGAGAATGTTTTTTGCAAATACAACAGGGTTGCGCTGACAGACAGATGAACAGATAGACATGTTTAGATGCATTCCAAATTTAAATTTGACGAAAAATTTACATAGTTTATGGGTTTTTTGAAGCTTGTGGTTGCGCAGACATACAGATGGACAGATAGACATTCTTAGGTGTATTCCGAATTTAAATTTGGCGAAAAATTGTGCGTGTTACGAGGGTATTGAAAAAACAATTAAATTTTGATATACTATAATATTGGATAGGCGTGGTCAAGTTGTTCCATTTTTATACACAAACGCGAGACCATCGCCAATACTACAGTTTATCAGTAATGAGCAAAAAAACAAATTTTTCATTCTTTTTGAAAAACAGAAGTATTTTCAGTTTACCTGGTGCTGTAAGCGGGTTCTTCGACCGATTTGGCCGATTTTCAGTACCAATCTACGTGCAAAAACTTCCAATGGTCCCGTCAAATTTGAAGTTGATAGCTATATTTTTTCGGTCAAGAGAATGTTTAAAACAAACGGACAGATGTACATGCTTAAATCGATTTAGGATTTGATGCTGATCAAGAATATATATATATATATATATATATATATATATATATATAGTTTGTGGGGTTTCTGATGCTTCCTACAAATGCATATATAAAAATCATGAAAACAGCCACACCCACGCTATATTAGAAAGTATTAAAATTTTATTTTTGTTTTTCGAAAGAAATGTGATGACTATAAAGGATTTATAAATATTTCATTTATTTTATTTATTCTTTTTTCTTTTGTATTTACCTTGCGAATTATAAGAACTTCTTTTCGTCTTGTTGTTGTTTTTAATAAATAAATTTGATATTTTTAGCACTTGCTTAGTAAATATTGTTTCCTTTAATTTCGTTCAGCTTGAAATTTCTTTTACATTTTTTTTTTTTTTGTGCTTCTTTTTTTTGCGCGTGTGAACAGTTTACAAAGAACAATTAAGTATAAGTAAAACGACTTTTCTTGTTTTATTTACATTCTTCCGCAACGATTTTGTAATTTGTAATCGTGTAAGATATAAATGATCACTGCTTTAATAACTTTATATAAAGTATTTGTTTATTTATTTATTTATTAATTTTTTTTTTTTGTTTCTTTTGCGCGTTTATATTTATGAAAAAATTTATTCTTAGATATCTTAAAGTTAATTAATTAGTTGTTTTCGTTTCAAGAGAAATTTCAATTATTAAGAAAATTTATTTGTTTTTCTCATTGTAATGCATTTTGACTAATGTTGTAGTTAATCATTTACGTTCAAAATACGTTTCTTGCAATTGTACAAACAAAAAGTTGTTGTTGTAAGAATAACAACACAACAATTGTGTGTTTGATAGAACTAATAATAATAATAATAATAATAATAATAATAATAATACATGCTTGTATACATACAAGTATACATATTAAGTATTATAGTAGTTTACGTATCGTGAACTACGCGCCTTTTTCAGTTATTTGAATTTGAATTGAATTAGCGAACGGAACGATTTAATTCAAGCAGTAGTTACCTGTTTCGCGTACGTTTAGTGACTGATATTAAAGTTGGTTGATTGTTGGTTGTTGCTGTTGCTGATGTCTGATGCAAAAAAATAAATAAATAAAAAAAAAAAAAAATAAAAAAAATATAAAAAAAAAACAAGCTAAAATCCCAAATACAGCAACAACATATAACCAACGTATATCAACAACAGTTTAACTGAGATCACTAAATAATTCTCCTATCGCAATTTATCTGCTCATGCCGACGGACTGTCATGTCTGAGCATCAATATAACCTTTACGGATTTTATGATTAATAAAACTATTGCTTGAATTTAAAATTTTCTTCAAAAAAAAAAAAAAAAAATAAATAAATTCTTAGTCTATCATACGAAATTGTGTTTATTTAAAAAAATAAAGTCAACTTTTTAATATTTGATTATTACGTTTATTTATTAAAATATTGGCAACCATTAAACAATCTATTGTTGTAAAGTCAATATGTTTAGGCAATTATTTCATCAATTTCATGTCATTTTATAGATGATGACAGAATACCAGAATACCAGATGCGTGTATATCTAGAGTTATAGTCACATGCCTTGATAAAGGGTGTCTCGATATAGATTGACTTTTGATACAAATTTCTTCTACTCCTTAATGATTGTTGTTATCTTTATACTTAGGTAGAATATAATGATGCACTAGATCAGGCGACAGCACGCGCATCAAAATTAACCAGAAAGCCTCGCCTAAGATATAATGGCCTGAAAAAGTAACGTAGCCAAGAATAGACATTTCTAACCGCGAAATGCGTCCTCCATGATATTTTAGGTGTTCGCGTCAATAGTGTTCGAGTCAATCGTGCTTTCTAGATTGCCAAGGAGACACCTTTCATGATAATTTAGGTGTTCGAGTCAAGAGTGCATTATAGATTGCTACGGCCTGTATTGATTATTTCAGATGTAACTTGCAAATTATAGCGCGTTTGATTCAGTCCACGTCGCTTCAATTTACTCTTCCCTCTAAATACATGTCAGAGATGCGAAATGTTAGGTATACCATGTTACAATAGCAAGACATATTCGGACTTATTCTCAAAATCGTGTAGCGCACTGTCAACAGATAATTGCAGCTTTTTTAAAACATTTTTCATTTGAAAGCGGACTAATGCGTGAATGCTATATATTGTCTCAAATTGGCGGCGTATATTCATTGGTTTTACATAATTCTTCAAAATATGGAATCTAGGTACTCTGTTGTTGAAGTTTTTCATTGGAGCTCACTATTCAATAAGAAGATTTTGAAAATGTATTCACTTCACTTATTCCTTAAATCCCAGTATTAAATTGGAAGACTTTGAAGAAATGTTCACTTCACTCATTCAGGTGCAGCTGCATTTGTTTGCCCCTTTTGGACCATAAAAGACTTCAAATTTTTCACGATATCGAAAGTTCTAAGCAGTTTTGGTACACCCTGTTCGTGTTTGACGATAACCAATTAAACAATTAAAAATTGTTACACCTTCGGTTCTTAATTACTTTATTATTCCCTTTAATGTTCATTTAATTTATATAATGTCTAAAGAGGCACGCGTTCCATTGAATTATGAATGGAAAGCACAAAACAAAGCAATTTATTATAAACTTTCACTATTACGCTTCAGGAAAGGCGGTCTCTTCTATCTCAATCGCCAACTCATACTATGAACTTCAGTGGGCAATCTCAAGCAAGTTTCTCTTGCCGACTATATAGCTTGCTTTGCTATTGTGCTCAAGAGCAACTTTTGGAAATAGAAAATGTTCTGATTCTGCCCATCAACGCAACTTAAGGCTATATTTGTTTTATTTTTTTCTGCTCGACAATACGCAAACGTACTTGCGTCGAGAAGTACTTTTAATTAAATAGGAGCTTCTGATAAATTGAAATAATAAAAGACTGCAACATAACCTCAAAAAGAGAACAACATAACCTTAAAACGACGCCTTGTTGAAGGACTTTACATTCAATGCTTAGTCTCATGTAATAAACTGAGACGACAAAAGGAATTAAGACAAATGTCGCAACTTCAAAAGACGGCGAACGTTCGACATTAGAGCACTCATATGAAGAGCTTCGCATTCGGTATTACATTTATACCCTTAGCCTTCACATATAATCGCCATTTATTTCTTGCCAATGCATTATGATTGAAAATTCAATTCAAAAAATCGTAATAAATCCATCTAAGCTACAAGATCCCTGGCATCGCCTCTTATTTCTCACAAAAAAGCATTCACTCCATTTAGTTGCATGTTTAACCAAAATTGTTGCAATTTTTCTATACGATTTAAAACATCAAATGAATGAATTAAACAAGAATGCAGTTATGTTCGTTCGGCTTACACCGAATCTTTTATTAGTAAATTTCGATTTACTTCAAGTTGTTCGATTTTTCGATGATTTCTTCTTTAAAAATGTACAGCGGCATAAACGATATGTTAACAAAAGTCTGCCTATTACATAACCTAACTGCAACACAACCTCTATAATACATGATGAGATGGATTTTTTTTTTTAGCGCACAAAAGTAACTGAGGGAACGCGTAATTTTTGTTCTTACATGCCTCATAACATTTGATGAACTTAATATGCCGCTAACGATGGGTATGTGGGTAGCATAAGAAAAAACCCTGATTGAGATATGATTGACTGATTTTTCATGTTGCTGCTGACGTTATTATTAATATTGTTGTTGTATTTGCTGTTGTCACTGATTCGCTTATTTTTGTTTGCGTGTGTGTGTAAAAGTATTTTCCTCCACAATCCATAAGCACGTGTAATTGCTACATTGGATAAGTTGCCTTGATAAATTCTACCAACATATAATGAAATAATAGTTCAACTCTATTCGATTACCTCTCACCTTTTTCAATCTTTATTACCCACCACAACAGTCGGTATAATCATATTTTCAAATGCTTGAGATGCTTACCAAAGGTCATAAGTGAATTACTCTCTTTAAGGGCAAAAATTCTTGACCAGTGTAAATAGCGAGATTAAGTTCAATCATGTCCGTCCATTAAATTGTTTTATTTAAGTTCGGCTATAATTAGCAAACATATGCGCCTTTCATAGGGCCTTTCAACAGGTTATGTCATTTTCGATTTTTCGCTGCTTTTGAAAACGATAAGGAATTTTGGTATACCCAGCAATCCAAGTGACGAGGCTTATTTGTATCTGCTTAAGTACGTAAAGCAGAAAAACTGTCCTATCCGGAGCTATGAGAAGTCAAAAGAAATAATCCCCTCAACTATAGCAACCGAGGACCTAATAAGCTTCTTGCGCTGGAAGGGAAACTCACTTTTCAAAACTACTACTGGTTTAGACGTTACACTGCAATGTTACATGACTCACTTATTCCGCGAATGAGTACGATATTTTTCCGCATGAAGTTGACCCTACGAATTTAGACGACGTTTGTTTTCAGAAGGACATCGCCATACAGGTCATGAAATAACAAAATTATTGCGCGAAAAATTTTAAAACGGCTCCGATAGGTGAAACACTCTTTTCTTTTTATCTTGCATTCGTGCAGCGCTATTTCGTGCTATTCGGTACATGGAACCCCTTTAAGAATGGGATTTTAAACTCCAACATACGGCCTTTTGAAATTAAAGCATTGAATAGTTATCTACGGATTCGGTGTAAACCGAAGACATATTATATTTTCTCAGCTCCCTCTTCCTTCCCTACCACCCAACAACTCTGTTGCCAATAATTCACGTCACCTTACCTTTTCAATCAATGGCATTTACCACTGTGTGAAGACTAAATACTACCTGTACTTGCTCTCTTTCAGGTTACCTTAGACGGCAAGTCTACGTTGCATGTGAAACATAAGCATACATGTATTCAAACAGTTAGCTATCTATCATCTATCTTGCCTTGCAGACCTCTGGTATCCGCTGTTGTGTATGTTATCTTTTGTATTTTCAATTGTTGTTGTTGTTAGTATTGCTGCTGCTGCTGCTGCTGCTATTGCTGATGCTGTTGAAATGGTGTAAGCCATCAGTGGAAAATTTTTGAATGAAAACCTTTTTCTTTTCTAGTAAATCTATCAGGTGTGTTAGCCTCTCTACTGTTTTAGTATTATATATAAAACGCAATAACTTCTATCATCGCCAACAGATTGCTTGTATATTTATACTTGTTTTGCTGTGTAGCAAACAGTGTAGCGGAATGAACTGAAATTTAAAAATTTTGTATTCAATATTATGAGGCGCAAAGTAAATGACAAGATTTTAACAAGAATGTGCAACGCTCTCGACGTGCAGTTGAAAAATAAAAATTAAGAATCATCTTAACGATAAAGGGTACATCGATCGATCACCTGAACCGACTAGAAGAACCGAGAAATCAAGCATAAAGGTTGAATTTAATACCTTTTAAAGATCATATTTTTTAGCGCCTTGACTTGACGAGATCCAGTGACAATTGGAATACTTACGCCCGCTCCGTATGGGCTAAGGCAAGGTCGAATGTTAAAGCGGCGCCAATGCTCTTACGTGTAGTAAGACCTTAAATGACGGCAAGCCAAGGTGTGCTTAATACTTAATGCTTCGG